CCGCAACGGGAGAGGCCACAGCAGTGAGAGGCCCGCGTACCGCAAAAAAAAAAAAAAAAAAAAAAAAAAAAAAGAAATGCATGGTGTTTATTCGTTCATTCATCCATTTATTCAACCAAAGTTAAATGGAGGGCCTCTTAGGTCTCAGACTGTGCTAGGCACTGGGAACTTGAAGAGGAAAGCAATGAAATCGTATCTCATGAAATCAATGGAGAAGGCTAAAGTTGCATATAGTCAAAATGATCCTTAAACATCCCTCAAATTACCCATAGAGTATTATCTTAGGTCAGGGTCCCTGGAAGCAGAGCCTGCGATGAGGATTCTTGTGCAAGTAAGTGAGTGAAAGCATAGTCTCAGGTGAAAGAAACCCTTAAGGTAGTGGGAAACAGGGTAGGGCAGAGTTCAGCAAATATGTGAGCTCAACTGAACAGCTGTAGTGTAGCCTCAGCCTGATCCCAAAGGGAACTCCAGAGCATGAATGGCATCATAGATTTATACCCCCTTGAGGCAAAAGGACCAGCTTTTATATTCCCAATAATCAGGCATTGGCTTTAGGCTGTCTCTGGAAATTAGGGTATAACCTCTTTGGTATTTCTGGATGAGGTGACTCTGATCAGATGAGGGCAAGTCTCAAAAGAAGGGTGCAGCTCTGAGTGATTAGCGGCCAAAACACAAAGCAGCTGAGGGTTGGATGCACCAGCCAAGTACACGGAATCTGAAAGGGGCATCAGCAGCGGCTACTACACAGGATACATGTGCCCTGTTAAAAACCTGCATATCATTTGCTAACAAATACAACAGAGCAATTTATTTTTCTCCAGTGGTGTGATAGACCACCATTTCTTGGGATGCACTGCAGATGAAGTATTGATACTTGGCTTATGTGCAGGGACCACGTTGTATGAAAAATCTGCATCTATCAACACTAGACTCATATCCAGAATGGGGAGATGCTCACGCTGTGGGAGATGCTCCCGCAGATCTGAGACTGACTGTTTTCCAGGAGGCTGACTCTGAGATGTCATTATATGAGATGTTCTTTGGGAAGTGCCCTGTCAACACTGCGGGAGGGAGGGCCAGAAGCAGGAGCGGGCAGAGGGAGAAGTGGAGCCACAATGCAGGCCCGCTCACAGCCGCGGCTGACCCCACCCCATGGGAAGCTCTGAAGTTAAATGGCAGGTCAGAGCTGTCCTGCTTTGGGTCAGATGGCCAGGCGTTTATACCCCTGCATTGGGCCACCTAGGAAGGGAAGGCCCTGGGTGAGGGGTTTCTCTGTAGCTGAGGCCGCCCTGAAGGGACAGTTGGAGGCTATTTGCCTGCTGCACCCCCTGCAGCTGGGCAGAGGGCCTTCCTGGAGTGGGGTTGGGGGCACACATCTCTGTCCATCCCCGACGGAGACAACTCGTGAGGCCAGTCTCGGGCTCACTCCAAGCACACATCACTGAATGGAACGGGCACAGAATGACCCCCCAGTGGTCCAGCTGTCTTCTCTTGAGGGGGAAAGGGAGAATTGTGCACATATGCTTGAAGAACCTGCAATTTAGTCAATACTTTAGTATTTAATATAGATTCTGGACTTTCCTCACTTATAAGTGGATAATCTACAGATTCAGAGAACAAACTAGCGGTTACCAGTGGGGAGAGGTAAGGAGGGAGGGGCAATATAAGATTGGGGGAAAAATGGGTTATTATGGGATTACATGAAATCATGTATGTGAAACTTCTGAAAATTGCAAGGCACCATGGAATTTAAAGAATCTTTCATTCAGTAAAAAAATTGAAAAAAAGAAATGGATAATATATCCTGCTTTTTACTTATTATACTTGTCAAGTCTTTTTTTCCCCTCATTTTTAGTTAATGACAGGCATTGTGCTAAGTACCTTACATTCATTACCTTAAGTAATCCTTATAATAACATTATGCGTTAGGTACTATTATTATCCTCCATCTTATGGATGAGGAAACTCATCTAAGGGTTAGAGAGGTTAGAAAAAACTTGCCCACAGTGAAATTATATAGTCAGTGTTCAAACCAAAGTCTGTCTGACTCCAAAGCTCAAACCCTTAGCTGCTCTACCAAAGCCAGCTGTGAAACCTCTCACATTGCCCTTTTTTAAAATAGATTTTTATTGGAGTATAATTGCTTCACAATACTGTGTTAGTTTCTGTTGCACAACAAAGCGAACCAACCGTATGCATACACATGTCCCCATATCCCCTCCCTCTTGAGCCTCCCTCCCACCCTCCCTCTCCCACCCCTCTAGGTGGTCACAAAGCACCAAGCTGATCTCCCTGTGCTATGCGGCTGCTTCCCACTAGCTATCTATTCTGCATTCCATAGTGTATATATGTCGATGCTACTCTCACTTCACCGCAGCTTCGCCCTCCCACCCCATGTCCTCAAGTCCGTTTTCTATGTCTACCTCTTTATTCCTGATAAAGAAGATGTGGCACATATATACAATGGAATATTACTTAGCCATAAAAAGAAACGAAATTGAGTTATTTGTAGTGAGGTGGATGGACCTAGAGTCTGTCATACAGAGTTAAGTACGTCAGAAAGAGAAAAACAAATACCGTATACTGACTCATATATATGGAATCACATTGCCCTTTGATGGACCTTTGCCAATTCATTCATCCATTCATTCAACGGTGCTTTACCGAGCATTTCTATGCCAAGCTCTGCTCTAGGTTGGTATTAGAGATTCAACAGAGCAGCCTATGAAAAGGAGTATATGTGCATGTGTCCTTGTGGGTCGTTCTTCCTGCATCTGTGTGTGTGTGTGTGTGTGTGTGTGTAACAATTTCAAGAGGTTAATGCAAATGTCATGACCTTTGGATATTTCCTAGTAACTCAATTCACTGTGTTTAAACTTTTTAACAGGCTAAAAGAGACACTAAGCGGACGTCTGGAAAAGAAGTCACCATTAACGTCGCAGACAGCATCCGACAGGTGGACAGAAGTCGAAGAATCACAAAGAACTGCGTCAACTAGCAGAGTGTTCAGCCAGTTGAAGGGCAGAGGGACTTCTTTGGTGCCCTTCACATCCTGGACCCCATCACGGAACCTTGAAGACGTGGGTAGCCCTTGCTGTGTGGGAACGCTGCTGAGTGCCTTGGGAGACTGTCTTAGCCTGTTGGGACGTTCTCAGCCTCCTATTTATCACGTAAATGTATTGGCAGAGTACTCCCATAGGGTAATAAACTGCAAATGTATGTTCAGTTTGCCCCTTGCAACTGCTGCAGTGTGGTCTGATGGAAAAGTGGCGAGCAAAAGCACGGGCCAGTTTAGGAAACAGAAAAGTAGAAGGGGTAGGTTCCTGGCTGAAAGAGGCACAGTCGGTTCTGAGCTCTCCTGGCCATGGTCGTGCGCACTGTTTCAGGCAAGCTTATTCTTTCATTCTTCCTTTTTGAAATACCACCATCTCAAAGCTTACTGTGTTCACTTAAACGTTGGCTTTCACCCAACTCTAAACCCACATGTATGAGGAATCAAGAAACAGGAAAACTCTCTGTTACCCTTGTTTCCTTAGCTCAGGATGAGGTGGATTCAGATCCAATTTCACACAAACTAACCCCACCAACACCCATGGTATGTCCCAGGGAGGGCCTCTGTAATACAGTCACACCCATTTCTCTCTCATCTGCTTTCAGCATCCCCCCAGGCCAGGGTCCACGTCAGCCTCTGAACCATAGTATCACGGTAGTGGTCACCTCGGAGCCCTCAGGGTTCAGCAGACATTGCATTTTTCCAGCTTTCCACTTCCCTTTGCTTGTGTTCTTGAGTGTTTTTTCTCACCAATAAGGCCATTTGCAGTTGTTAATCAAAGACCAGGCTCACAAGAGGGAGAAAATCTGGAACATGTTGGCTTCCCTTTGGCCTCTCTGCACAGCCCAGGACTGTGTCATTTGGTATCTGCAAAGGAATTGCTTTAAAAAGTCAGTAACTAGTTGGTGTGCGTTCACATGGACATTAGATCCACATGCACTGTGTTAGAAATCTGTAGCTGAGGCAGTAAAAAAAACAAAATTGGTAGGAATAAAATTTTCTAGCATTTCTTTAAACATGTTAAGGTGGAAGTATTTTCCTCCGAAGTAATGTAGCGTGATTTTTCAAGGACTGTCAACATGCCTGGAATTAGGAAAGGTAGGACTAAAGTTGTACCGAATGATACCAATAAACTCCATGTTTAGCAGAAATAGGTAGTCTGATGGTGTGTATTTATCTATCATAGTCCGGAGAAGTTTAAAAATTCAGATACTTGGCCTCTTTACCTGCCAACTCTGTTATTCCTCAAACACAAGTGGGCAATGTCCGTCCCTTCCTTCCTTCCCTCCTTCCTTCCTTCCTTCCTTCCATGGATTGTGTATTTATTCAGTAAACATTAAATGCCAACCCTGTGTCAGGCACCGTGCAGGTGCTGAGAGATCTGGAGTCTGGCCAGTCACGGTTGTATATCCTGAATTTGACGGTGAACTTAATAACTAGGGGCCTGGCTTAGACGCTGGGGTATAGTGTATGGTGTGAATTGCTCTGCAGTGTAATTTTAATTTTATAGCCAGGATAGGTTTCTGTCCTAAACTCCAGATATGGGCATTCTCCTAATCACTGTCCAGGCCTTTACTGTGCACAAAACTACACTTTCCCAAACCTTTGTCATTTTGTGATTCTTTGAGAAAGGGCTTTTAGGGAACTTCATGTTCCGAAACTTTTAAATATAATAATAAAGCAAAACCTGTGACTTCCATGACCCCTCTGGTATGATTCAGCAGGAGCCACCCACTGCCAAAGTTTGGCATTGATCCTGCAAGTCCAAGGGCTTGCTGTCCCAGGGCACCTGCACTGTGTTTTTGTGCAGAGTGTTTCTTCACCAGTCACTAGCTAACCTCGTTCCTCTTTGCAACTTTGTTTTTGCATCACTTAACTGCAGCTCCTTGTTTGGAATTTATCAACTTGAGAGGGTGTCTCTGTCTTATATAGAAACAGTTTCTCACTTCTGGAGGAGAGGAGAATGAAGGGCATATATGATCCTCCCCTCTCCAGAACAATCTGGATTTCACCAAGACCAGAAGTTAAACCGTGTTACTGGAAATTCATCTGGCAACTTTTTCATGTGTGTATGATACAGGAAGCGATTCTTACCGTCCTATTAGCATAACACTTTCTATTGCAAAGTTTGTGTCAGTAAAGTCATCAATTTCAAACACACGGACAGTTACAGAGAATCTTTACTGGAATGTTAAATTTGTGTGTAGAGCTGGTTAGATTTTTTGTTTCTTTCAAACAAAGGGCTTTTAAGTGAATCCTCCAAAAAGCCTTGTGAAATAGGTAAGGGGAACACAATTAGCCCCCATTTACAGTTTAAAAAGTATTTATGGTCCACGCATCCAGTAAGTGGCGGAGCAGGGATTCAAGTGAGGGAAGTTTGCTGGCACATCCAGTGCTTTTTCTACTGTATAATATGAGGCCTTTCCCAGCAGGAAGGTCTGGCGTGGCTGGGAGATTCATTTGGAGGGGAATTGCCACGGAGCTGAGATTAAGCTGGGCACGAATCTAAGAGGGTGACAACAGTGACAAGAGAGGGCTGGTGAGCTCCTGGGGCATTTGGGTTTGGCCAGGCTCCCTTCTCCCTCCAGAGATGGTGACCCTGACCTAGTGTGAGAGGCATCTTCCGTGAAGGTCAGAAAGAGGAGAGACTTTAGGATTCAGAGGAGATTGAAATTGCCCCCCTCAGAAGAGCTGCTAAGAGACGGAAGCCAGGGCAGCCACTTCTGCCAACACCCGAGCCCTCTCTGGGTGCCCAAGTGAAGGGCTGTACCTCCTCATCCTTTCCCGGCTGTCACCCCCCCCCCCAGTGATCCCACCCGACCCCCACCTCCCAGGCCACCTGAACACGCTGCTGCTTCCACTCCCTGTCTAAGCCCTGCTGTTTACGACCCTCACCAGCCCTGCTCACTGGCTGCCCCACATGCCACAGAAATGTATCCCATCCTTATTTGCTCCCCTAAGTAGGGTTCACAAAACTGTCAGCCCTGCTGAACCAGATGGCAGGTGTGCTTTGTTTGGCTGTTAACGGTGTTAAAGCTTGAGAATGTCACAGAAAAGTCAGCTCTGGCAGAGACGCCTGGTTTAGAACTCCAGTATCTATTCTCCTCTTCCTCCTGCCCATTTAGAATAAAGATTATACTTTCTAGCTTCCTTTAAAGTTAGGAGTAGCTACATTATTAAGTTCTGGCCAATGAAATGAATGACGCTTGGAAGATTCCAGGAAGTCTCCTTATAAAAGAATGATCAGGCCCTTTCTTCCCCTTTTTCCCTCCTGCTTCCTGGAATGAGGAGGTAATGGCTGGAGTCACAGCAGTCCCCAGGATCATGAGGTAACCTTGGGAATGGAAGACATGCCACGCTGAGCAACAAGTTAGAAGAAGCCCGGATCCCTGATTCCACTGAGTCTCCATGAGCCCAGGACCATACACCCCAGACCTCTTTTTGTGAGAGAGAAATATACTTCTACCTCATTTAAGCTGCTTTTTCAGGTCATTACTCACAGCCAAACCTAATTCGAATTAATATACAAACTTTATCTTCTTTTGAAAACTTGGAAGATCTTTCATCCTTGGGCCCTTGTCATCACTCACATACAGTAAGCCAGAGCTGATAAGGTTGTGTTAGCTGAAGTTGGGGGTCTCCAGCTCATGAGGGCCCCCACCACTCACTGTGGCCGGCACACGGCAGCCTTCCCATTTGTTACCTGCTGGAGCCCTGAGACATTTGTGTTTGCAACCCCTGCTCCAAACTGTGTTCCCAATATATTGTTTTCATGTTCTTTTTAGGAGTCATCAAAATATAGAAGGTCCTTTTACCCCATTCCACATTCTGGAAAGTCAATCTCAGGAGAATTTTATGTGTAGGCAAACTACAAACATGATTTAATGGTTAACATTCTATATTCACTTCCCCTTTCACTTACTCCATACATATTTACCAAGAAGTTTAATGTGTCAGAACGTGGGATATGGTGAGGAATAAAATAGACTTGTACCCTGCCCTCGTGGAGCTGGTGTTCTAGTGGAGAAAACAGACAATAACGACATAAAGAAAGAAATTATTACGATAATTTAAGGTGGTGATGAATGCTGAAAAATAATGTTAACAGGAGAATGGATTGGAGGGAGGCAGGAATGGAAGCAGGGACCATTTAGGAGGCCACTGCAGCAGCCCTGGGGAGAGATATAAAGAACAGAATAATGGTTGTGAAGATGGGTAGAAGTGGATGGGTGCTGAGTACATTTTGGAAATAGAAACATTAAGATTTGCTCATGGTTGTAGGAAATGAAGAGAAGGGACAAACCAATGTGATTCCTAAGTTTTTTTTTTTTTTTTTGATCAACAGAGTTCTTGGTAAGATAGTATAAGACGAAGTGAAAAAACTTGTTTGGGTTTTTTGACAGGGTGGGTGGCTCTCTCAGCTGGGCCATGTTTACCAACCTGCCTTGCTGTAAGTTCCTAAACTACTTCAGCAATATTTAATTCTCCTTAAATTACTTCAAATTGTTCCTTAAAACCATCCCTGATGGAAGACCATAAAAGCCAGCATCAGAAGGGATGTATACTTAATTCTCTTGGGAATATGGAACAGTGAAACGGTCCTGACATTATCAGACAATGGATCACCCAGATTGCAACCCAGCAGAGAGCTAAGTCTGGGCACGTATTGCCAGAGCGAGCATTGCAGTTTTAATTTCTTAACTAGACCTTCTCCAGGTAGGACTTCATGTTAAAAGGAAAAGGGGTAAATAATATTGCCCTTTCTGATCCAAATAGCCGTTTTCATAACATCGCCGTGTGCCAGGGAGGTGGCTGAATTTGTTCGCTTTTTAAATTTTATTATCCAGAGAAAGTCTCCCTCTGTTCTAATAGATAAATCAACCATGGGATGGCCTCTGAAACAAGGGGCTGCAGCCAGCCAGCCAGGAAAAGCAGAGAAGACAGGCTTCAGGTGCAGGAGACAAATCCTAACCTGGCATCTAACAGCTTTGTGCCCTGGGGCAAATGGTGGAGCCTCTCAGGGGAAATAATAGCATCTTTCTGAGAGTGTGTTGTGAGGATTAAGTGAGATAACACATGTAGATAACATACTGTGTGCCACGTAATAATAATCACGGCCCTGTGCCAGGTACAGTGCTTGGTGTGTCACACACACGACTTGTAATCAATAAAGCTGTCCCGCCACATGAGCCTTGTTAGCCCCCCTTTACAGATAAAAGGAATGGAGACTAGAAGGTCAAAGGCTATGCAGCTACTAAAGGGCAGAGCTGGGATTTGAACCTATGTCTGCCTGTCTGGGAAAACCCCTGCTCTGGCCACTGCACCATGAGTAAGTACCTAGAATGTGTTAATCTTCTTCCTGTCATGATGGATGGCAAGTGACTTCACAGCTCTTTTTATAGCACTGGTGTCTCAGCACCACCAAGTTGTCCGTGTTAATGCCAGGATCAATGACAGCACCCTGGATACAAATCTGTGAAATTTCATCATTGTTTCTTTTAAACTTTTTTCTTAACAGCAGCAAAGGCAGTAGCCATCTTTTGGTTGTGCCACAATATTAAAATTCCTCTGAAGGTAATACTAGTAAATTTGGGGGTCTTTCTAAAACGTATTGCAAACCTAAGTATTATAGATCTATCATAGTAATCCCTCCTTCCTCTTTGTTCTAGAATAGGAAGATGAAGGCCTGGGCTAGCTGGGTCCCCCAGGAGAAAGGGCAGCATTGTGACTTATAGAAAGGGATGAAATGGAATAGAATTAGTTTCTAGTGGAAAAAAACAATTAGCAGGTGGAAAAGAATTATGATTGCTTAGCACTGACGGTTGGCAACATGGCTGCACATTGGAATCACCTGGGAAGCTTTAACGACTATTCAGGCCTGTTCCCTCCCCCAGAGATTCTGATTTAATTGGTCTAGGGTGCAACCTGTATATTAAGACGTTTCAAAACTCCCAAGAGGGTTCAAATGCGCATTTAGGATTTAGAACCAGTGCCTTAGCAGATCACAGAATTAGTGTCTCCAAAACTCTCTGAGAGGGTCTTAAATCAGACTCCCTGGGTTTGGATCCTGTTTTCACCGCTGACTAGGTTTATGGCCTTGGGTAAGTCGTTTAAGCTCTTCATGTTCCTGTTTGCCTGTTTATAAAATGAAGCTAAGAGTATCTCATGGTGTTACTGACCAGGGTTCTTGGCCTCCTTAAACAATAGAAATTGACAAGAGACCAGACAAGAAATTCAGGCAAGGCTTTACTGGGGCTCCTGCGTCAGCAGGGTGGAGCCAGAACAAGTAGCAGGTTCCCCTGCTTCCTCCCTGAAGTGGGGGGGGCGGGGGGGGGGGGGCGCGAGCTCGTCCCTTAAATGGGGTGAGGATGGGGGCTGATTGGTTGGTCGGCAGGAGAGGCAGCTTAGGTGGTCTGCCCACGCCCTCCTTGGTGGTGCTGTGTGCAGGGTGCATACACAGTCCCCTGCTTTTGCTCCCAGCTCCTCAGAAGTGGCAGTCAAGTCTTTGGTCTTTTTGTATCTTGTTGTTCATAATTTGTCCCAACTGAGCATGCACCGCAGTTATTTTTAGTCCCTTATAGTTTCTCTGTATTTTGTTGCTCCAGCAGATGTTTGTTCAGGTGCAAGCACTGCAGCAAATGGTCCCAGGTCCCATGTTTCAGGTCCCAGCCTGTCTCAGTGATAGCAGGAGGATTTAGTAAGGATGTATTGATACATGTAAAGCTCTTAGCACAGTGCCCAGCATATGAGGATAAACACAAGGTTGTTTATTATTGTTGAACTGTCATCCAGCCCTGAAAATTCTAGGACATGGGCAAGGCCTGACATATAAAATTCAGCTCTTAAAGGTAAATGTACCAGAGAGCTGGCTCCTTACTTAAGTACTTTGTTTCTTCTCATGCACCATAAATGTACCTTTTTCCCAAGTAAATACTTCTTTTTTATTTTTTTTTATTTTTGGCTGTGTTGGGTCTTCGTTTCTGTGCGAGGGCTTTCTCTAGTTGTGGCAAGCGGGGGCCACTCTTCATGATGCGTGGTGCGTCGTGGCCTCTCATTACGGAGCACAGGCTCCAGATGCGCAGGCTCAGTAGTTGTGGCTCATGGGCCTAGTTGCTCCGCAGCATGTGGGATCTTCCCAGACCAGGGCTCGAACCCGTGTCCCCTGCACTGGCAGGCAGATTCTCAACCACTGCGCCACCAGGGAAGCCCAAGATAAGTACTTCTTATCCAATACAAAATGTACCTTGGGCATCATGAGATGAAGACAGCAACCATCTTCAAGAAATCTTCCTAAGGAGCCTGTGCTTTACTCTGGGCAGAAGAACTGACCCAGGATAATGCAGAGGAAGAAAGCTTGCTTAGTTTTGGGTTCTGGAAACTTTATGCTGTCCCTTTAAACTTGTCTGAGCTTTCATTGGTAAGTTCTCCAGAGGGTAGTCGTCCCCAGATTGGTAACTAGCAAGTGAGACATGATTTTAGATGTAAAGGAGTCCCGTGTGAGGAGTGGTACAGCCATGGATTTGGGGTTTCCACAGTTTTCCTTGGCACTAATAATGTCCAGCCGCTGGCATCAAATATGCGATGCTGTTCTCTAGGAAGACAGAATGCCCCATTCCAGCATACTGGACGAAGCTGGCAACACCCCTGCAGATCCTGTGCAGACCTGTTTGGTTCTGTCCTTAAGACATCCCAGCTTTCTCCCTGGCTGTCACAACCAGGAAAGATTCAACTAAATATGTATATTCATATTTGAACGAGCACAGGAAATTAATCCTTTAAAAGAAAAGATCCTTCTAAAACACCTTTGAGAACTCTAAAAGAAGAATAGGGACAGTTCACCTACTACTTCTTGAGCAAAATCAAGGCTTTTTTTTTTTGAATTTTATTTTTTTATACAGCAGGTACTTATTAGTTATCGATTTTATACGTATTAGCATATATATGTCAATCCCAATCTCCCAGTTCATCACACCACCACCACCACCACCACCACTGCTTTCCCCCCTTGGTGTCCATACGTTTGTTCTCTACATCTGTGTCTCTATTTCTGCCCTGCAAACCGGTTCATCTGTACCATTTTTCTAGATTCCACATATATGCGTTAATATACATATTAGTTTTTCTCTTTCTGACTTACTTCACTCTGTATGACAGTCTCTAGGTCCATCCACATCTCTACAAATGACCCAATTTCGTTCCTTTTTATGGCTAATATTCCATTCTATATATGTACCAAATCTTTTTTATACATTTGTCTGTCGATGGGCATTAAGGTTGCTTCCACAACCTGGCTATTGTAAATAGTGCTGCAATTAATATTGGGGTGCATGTGTCTTTTGGAATTATGGTTTTCTCTGGGTATATGCCCAGTAGTGGGATTGCTGGGTCATATGGTAATTCTATTTTTAGTTTTTTAAGGAACCTGCACACTGTTCTCCATAGCGGCTATATCAATTTACATTCCCACCAACAGTGCAAGAGGGTTCCCTTTTCTCCACACCCTCTCCAGCATTTATTGTTTGTAGATTTTCTGATGATGCCTATTCTAACCGGTGTGAGGTGATACTTCATTGCAGTTTTGACTTGATTTTCTCTAATAATTAGTGATGTTGAGAAGCTTTTCATGTGCCTCTTGGCCATCTGTGTGTCTTTTTGGAGAAATGTCTGTTTAGATCTTCTGCCCATTTTTGGATTGGGTTGTTTGTTTTTTTAATATTGAGCTACATGGGCTGTTTATACATTTTGGAGATTAATCCTTTGTCCATTGATTCGTTTGCAAATATTTTCTCCCATTCTGAGGGTTGTCTTTTCGTCTGGTTTATGGTTTCCTTTGCTGTGCAAAAGCTTTTAAGTTTCATTAGTTCCCATTTGTTTATTTTTGTTTTTACTTCCATTACTCTAGGAGGTGGGTCAAAAAAGATCTTGCTGTGGTTTATGTCAAATAGTGTTCTTCCTATGTTTTCCTCAAAGAGTTTTATGGTGTTTGGCGTTACATTTAGGTCTTTAATCCATTGTGAGTTTATTTTTGTGTATGGTGTTAGGGAGTGTTCTAATTTCATTCTTTTACATGTAGCTGTCCAGTTTTCCCAGCACCACTTATTGAAGAGACTGTCTTTTCTCCATTGTGTATCCTTGCCTCCTTTGTCATAGATTAGTTGACCATAGGTGCGTGGGTTTATCTCTGGGCTTTCTATCTTGTTCCATTGATCTATGTTTCTGTTTTTGTGCCAGTACCATATTGTCTTGATTACTGTAGCTTTGTAGTATAGTCTGAAGTCAGGGAGTCTGATTCCTCCAGCTCCATTGTTTTCCCTCAAGATTGCTTTGACTATTCGGGATCTTTTGTGTCTCCATACAAATTTTAAGACCTTTTGTTCTAGTTCTGTAAAAAATGCCATTGGTAATTTGATAGGGATTGCACTGAATCTGTAGATTGCTTTGGGTAGTATACTCATTTTCACAATATTGATTCTTCCAAACCAACAACATGGTATATCTCTCAATCTGTTTGTGTCAGCTTTGATTTCTTTCATCAGTGTCTTATAGTTTTCTGAATACAGGTCTTTTACCTCCTTCAGTTGGTTTATTCCTAGGTATTTTATTCTTTTTGTTCCAATGGTGAATGGGATTGTTTCCTTAATATCTCTTTCTGATCTTTCGTTGTTAGTGTATAGGAATGCAAGAGATTTCTGTACATTAATTTTGTATCCTGCAGCTTTACCAGATTCACTGCTTAGCTTTAGTAGTTTTCTGGTGGTATTTTTAGGATTATCTATGTATAGTATCATGTCATCTGCAATCACTGACAGTTTTACTTCTTCTTTTCCAATTTGTATTCCTTTTATTTCTTTTTCTTGTCTGATTGCTGTGGCTAGGACTTCCAAAACTATGTTGAATAATAGTGGCAAGAGTGGACATCCTTGTCTCATTGCTGATCTTAGAGGAAATGCTTTCAGTTTTTCACCATTGAGAATGATGTTTGCTGTGGGTTTGTCGTATATGGCCTGTATTATGTTGAGGTAGGTTCCCTCTATGCCCACTTTCTGGAGAGTCTTTATCATAACTGGGTGTTGAATTTTGTCAAAAGCTTTTTCTGCATCTATTGAGATGATTATATGGTTTTTATTCTTCAGTTAATATGGTGTATCCCATTGATTGATTTACATATACTGAAGAATCCTTGCATTCCTGGGATAAATCCCACTTGGTCATGGTGTATGATCCTTTTAATATGTTGTTGGATTCTGCTTGCTAGTATTTTGTTGAGGATTTTTGCATCTATATTCATCAGTGATATTGGTCTGTAATTTTCTTTTTTTGTAGTGTCTTTGTCTGTTATCTTTGTCTGGTTTGGGTATCAGGGTGATGGTAGCCTCGTAGAATGTGTTTGGGAGTGTTCCTTCCTCCGCAGTTTTTTGGAAGAGTTTGAGAAGGATGGGTGTTAGCTCTTCTCTAAATGTTTGATAGAATTCACCTGTGAAGCCATCTGGTCCTGGACTTTTGTTTGTTGGAAGATTTTTAAACACAGTTTCAATTTCATTACTTGTGATTGCTCTGTTCATGTTTTCTATTTCTTCCTGGTTCAGTCTTGGAAGGTTATACCTTTCTAATAATTTTTCCATATCTTCCAGGTTGTACATTTTATTGGCATAGAGTTGCTTGTAGTAGTCTCTTATGATGCTTTGTATGTCGGCAGAGTCCATTGTAACTTCTACTTTTTCATTTCTAATTTTATTGATTTGAGTCCTCTCCCTCTTTTTCTTGATGAGTCTGGCTAAAGGTTTATCAATTTTGTTTATCTTCTCAAAGAACCCACTTTTAGTTTTATTGATCTTTGCTATTGTTTTGTTTCTATTTCATTTATTTCTGCTATGATCTTTATGATTTCTTTCCTTCTACTAACTTTGGGTTTTGTTTGTTCTTCTTTCTCTAGTTCCTTTAGGTGTAAGGTTAGATTGTTTATTTGAGATTTTTCTTGTTTCTTGAGGTAGGATTGTATTGCTATAAACTTCCCTCTGAGAACTGTTTTGCTGCATCCCATAGTTTTGGATCATCGTATTTTCATTGTCATTTGTCTCTAGGTATTTTTTTATTTCCTCTTTGATTTCTTCAGTGATCTCTTGGTTATTCAGTAATGTATTGTTTAGCCTCCATGTGTTTGTGTTTTTTACGTTTTTTCCCCTGTAATTCATTTCTGATCTCATAGCGCTGTGGTCAGAAAAGATGCTTGATATGATTTCAATTTTCTTAAATTTACTGAGGCTTGATTTGTGACCCAAGATGTGATCTATTCTGGAAAATGTTCCATGTGCACTC